CTCTCTCGCTCATATCTTTTCGCTCTATTTCTCTCTTTTTTTATCTCTCCCTTTATCTCTCTCTTTTTCTCTCTATCTCTTTTTCTGTCTATCTCTCTCTCCCCCTGTCTCTCTCTCTCTCACTCTCTCTCACTCATTACTCTTCTTTCTCTCTCTGTCTGTTTGTCTATTTGTCTATTTCTCCCTCACTATGTTCGCCTTGCTCACTCTTGCCCTCACATCTTCTCTATTTATCGAGCTCCTTCTCGATTTATCGATCCATTATAAGAAAATACACTTTTAGCAACCACTTTGTCTCTCTCTCTCGCTCATCACTCTGTCTCTCTCTCTCTATCTCTCTCTTCTTTATCTGTCTCTCACAAAATTAAAATATTTATAAAATATTTAAATATTTAAAAAATTGATTTGAATTAAGTTTTGAAAAGAGTTTTAATTATGTGTTTGGTTATGAGTTTTGAAAAGTAATGATTATATTTTGAATTGAGTTTTGAAAAATGGATGTAGAATTATGATTTGAAAGCTCAAAACAAACACCATATTTAAATCAATGGGTGGAACTATGACCACCACCACTACTGCCACTACTACTACCATTACCTTTCATCCACCATCGCCACTCCATCTCCTCTACCACTACCACAACTTCACTACTAACCTCCTTCGCCGCTGCCGCCACCACTACCACCATCACCTCTTATCCACCACCTTCACTGTCGCTCCCTTTCCTCTACCATAAAAAATTGGTTCTTGGTTCTTAGTAACAAAAAAAAAAAAAAATGAGCCGTGAAAAAATATTTTTTATTAAAATATTACCCCTACTTCTTCAAAATAAAAAAATAATAATTTTTTTTCCATTAAAATAAAAATGAAACAAATAAATTTTCAACCTTAGTAATTAAAAAAATGGAAAATAAAAAAAATTCATTAACTACAAAAAAAAAAATAAATTATTTTAACCAAAAATATTTCGGTTGCGTTTGGTAGAGTTTTGTAAATGTGATTTGAGAGTATGAGTTGTATTTTGAGTTTGTGAGTTGTAGAATTATGATTTGAGTGTAGAAAATTTGTTTAGTTATGGTTTTTGAATAGAGTGTTGAATTGAGTTTTTGAATTGAGTGTAAAATTGAGTTTTGAAAGTTTGATTTGACATATTAAGTAAGAAAATTTGTTCGGTTATGAGTTTTAGAATGAGTTTTAGAAAGAGTTTTCAAAACTTAATTCAAATTATTATAACTCATAGCGAAACACATTACTTTCACACTATTAAAAATTTTGATCAACACTCATAACCAAATTCTTTTTAAAATTCAATTAAAAAAAATTATTATTAACAGAAAATAACATTAATCAATTTTTTAATTGAAAATACTACAAAGGAAATAATCTTTTTTCAAAATAAATATTCAAAAAATTTAAATCATAAATGTTTAAATAATTTAAATAATCTAAAAAATTTAATAAGTAAAAAATTTAAATAAATATTCAAAAAATTTAAATCGTAAAAATTTAAATAATTTAAATATTCAAAAATTTTAAATAATTTAAAATGTTAATATCTTAAATTTTAAAAAAAATCTACGCTCAAATCGTAACCAAACACATAAAACAAAACTCAATTAAAAAATTATTTTTAAAACTCATAATCAAACACATAACTCGAAACTCCATACTACTTTCATAACTCTACACTCAAATCATAATCAAATACATAACAAAAAAATTAAAATATTTAAAAATATTTTTATAAAATAGAGTTTGAATTTATTTTTATAAAATATTTTAAAATTTAAAAAATTAAAATCGTAATATTTTGAAATTAAAATATTTAAAAAAATTCAAAAAATTCAAAAATTCAAAAAATCGTAACCAAACGGAGCCTTCATTTTCCTGCTCTTTAATTCCCCCATTTCTTTAATTCCCCGCTCTTTAATTCCCCCATTTCATTTTCCCGCTATTTTAACCTTGGGTTTGATTTGGGGTAAACTGCCAGAAATGCTGTCTGTCCATTATATTCACAAGGATTTGGGGTTGGACTATGTTTTGATGGCAATTGGGACTGTTGGTGCCATTGTTCATGGCTCTTCGTTGCCTCTGTTTCTTCGATTCTTCGCCAATCTTGTGAATTCTTTTGGGTCTAATGCGAACAACATTGATAAGATGACACACGGAGTTATCAAGGTAAAAACATGAATTCAATATTGGTTTTTTGTTTTTTTGGTGGATTTGAAAGTGTTTTTGATTGTGAATTTTTGCAGTATGCGTTTTACTTCCTTCTTGTTGGGGCTGCAATATGGGCATCTTCATGGGCAGGTGAGCTATATATATATATAGATTGATCATTTGGGTATTTAATTATTGGTTTGTATTTCATAAATTTGCAATGAAATTGAAAGGAATTGAAAAATGGTTACAGAGATTTCGTGTTGGATGTGGATTGGAGAGAGACAATCGACGAAAATGAGGATTAAGTACTTAGAAGCAGCTCTAAATCAAGACATTCCGTTTTTCAATACGGAGGTCCGAACTTTCGATGTCATTTTCGCCATTAACACTGATGCAGTGATAGTTCAGGATGCCATTAGCGAGAAGGTGAATGAAAAGAAAAATCCCATTTGGTTTCAATGTTTTGTTGTCAAAGTTTTGCAAATTTATTTTGAACAGGCTTGTTTTTTTTTGGGTATGATTTTGTGCAGTCGGGGAATTTTTATATTATATGGCAACATTTGTGTCTGGATTTGTGGTGGGTTTCATTGCTGTTTTGCAATTAGCACTTGTCACTCTTGCTGTGGTTCCTCTCATTGCTGTAATTGGAGGTGTCCACACCACCACATTGGCTAAGCTCTCTTCCAAAAGCCAAGAAGCTTTTTCTGAAGCTGGAAACATTGCAGAACAGGTGAAAGAAGATTGAAAATTCCAACATTTGTTCATTTTCTACTTACTCAGAAAAAAGTACCCACAAAATTAAATTTTCTCTGTTTTTCAATTGGTTGTTGCTGATTTAAGCTAACAATGCAGACAATAGCTCGAATTTGCATTGTTGTATTGAGAATGGACATAGTTTCCTTGTAAATTTTCTCTGTTTTTGCATCTGGGTATTGCTAATTCCAGAAGTTTTTAAGCTTGATGTGTAATTATGTAGTGGGATAATTTTGTTGATGTATAATTATGAATGGAAGAATATTTTATTATGGAGAAATTGTTATTTTTATATAGGAATTTTTATGTTATTATGGAGAAATTTTAATATTTTTAATAATTTTATCGCAGGATGTTTTTTTTCTTTTTTGTGACGGCACTACACTATCGCAAAAAATAGAAAATTTTAATATTTTTATTGATTTTGTTACAGGTTTTACTTTTTGCGACGACACTAAACTGTTGCAAAAAATAAAAAATTTATTATTTTTTTAATACTTTTTGCAGCGGTTCTTGCTGTTGCAAAAAAAAGAGACTATTAGCGACGATATTTTTTGCCATCTCAAATGACATTTTTAGCGACGGTAAAATAGTGCCGTCGCAAAACATTAGCGACGGCACTGTGCCATCGCAAAAATTCTGTTGCAACGCCCCCAGTTACGACCCTCCTCTTGCCGTCGCAAAAAGTCATTTGCCTTGCGATGGCTTTAGGAGTATTAGTGACGGCATTTTACCGTCGCAAAGAGTCAAAATTTTAGTAGTGCCGGAAGTATAAATAGGCAAGAAAAAGGCTGAATTAGGGTTCTGAAGTTGTTTTGTCAAGAAAGGGAGGGTAGGGTTTGAAAAGAAGAGAAACTTGAAGCTTCAAGCATATCTCCCATGGTGACTTCTTCTCCATCTACCTCCTTCCACTCTTCTATGAGTGGCTAGTCTCTTTTTCTAGGGTTTTGATGAAACCCTAACCATGTAATAAGTTTTTCTTTTTGGATTTTCAATTATGTATACATTTGAACACTTGTATGGTGTTTTAGAAGTTTTATATATATATTTTTCATTATTTCTTCAAATATTCGACTTTTTGTGATTGTTAAATGTTTTCTATACAAGAGTTTTCTATTCTTTCACATTCAAGGTATGAGACGAATCATACTACGAGAGACGAATCGTATCACTATCTTAGTTTAGAGTGAACGATTCGTACTACTTGAGATGGTTCGTGCTCGTACATTGAACGTAATGATTTTCTTATTAAAAGCTTTGAATTTGTAGTTACGAAATATTATTCTGTTCAAATCACAACATAATTGTTTTCAATTTGAAAACCCAATTTACGTGACTAGTGGTGGACTCTTCGCCCTAGGTTTTTCCCCAATTCAGTAAATCTATTTTCAATTATAATTGATAATTTAATTATTTAATTTAATTTATTCGTTATTAAATTAGGTTATGATCAATCATTCTTTTTCATCAAAATTAATTTAAGAATTTATTAATTAAATTAGTTTAATTTCACAATTGTCCCTATGGATCAATACCTGGACTTACCATTATTCTAAAAGAATTTGGTTTAATTTAGTGTTTAATTTTGGTGTTCAACGACCCATCAGCTACGTTAAAAGTGTTACATTTTTTAAAAGTTCACTAAGAAATTTTTTAATATATTACGTTGTTACATTGAAGTGACAAAAACGTGGTCCAAAAATTAGATCCAACTTCCCTAAAATGATGTCCCACAATGAAAAAAGATAAAAACGTCCATCAAATCACACCAAAATTTAAAATAAGATCTTAAAGATAAGGTTGTTAAAACAAAGAGAACTCATCAATGTATTAAAAAATTCTCAGGACTATTTGAAATAGCTGATTCTCCCATGAGACTTTCTGATAACTTCCTTTAAAAAGCAACACAAATAATCCATTATTTTTTAAAGCATTTTATTTTCTTGTACTACGTGCACACTCTTATTCAAAGTGGGCTCACTCCGAGTCCATTCTATAATTTAAATTGTTTATTTTTTATTATTTATAAATAAATTATTTATATAAATGAGTTAAATTGATAAGCAAGACAACAAAGAAAACAATGTAATGGAAAATAAAGTTTATCATAATACATTGCAGTTCCTTAGCTATTACACATCATGAAATCTATCTATCTTCCTAAGTTGAAACTTGTTCAACATAGAATTTTTTTTTTTTTTTTTTTTTTATTTTTCTAAATGATATCTTACAATTGACCCTAAAAAATAAATAAGATTATAATTGCCACTGGCAAGAGTATTCTATCATGACTACCCCTTGACGTAAGATCGAACTAAATGAGATTAAAGCTACATCATTTGATGCACATAATGACATATTAGCTTTAAATAAGGGGAAAAAAATTAAAATCATACTTACATTACAACAAAGAAAAAGACGCATCAGCGGGATGATGAAGGCAACTGCCAAAAACTTTTCGTTGCTACGAGTATTTTCTCCCTCCCATGCGATTCGGGTTCCTTCTCATGTATGGTGGCAGTCCATCTGACAGCGTGAGCAATATGTTCTACTTTGTCGATCACTTCAGGGGAATCTCGAATCACAACCATCCCTTCTGGATGTAGCATTCGATCAATCTCCACCATCAAATCCACAAGGTTACACCTGTTATAGTAGTCACAAAGAGATAATCCTAATCACATCTTGCACTATTAGTTTGTATAAGCAGTAAAGAGACAGCAACTACCCATGACATCAAACTGGTTATAATAGCAGCCAAACTTCTCCAAATAATAGAATTAATAGGAGCAAAAAATAATTCCACAACTCAAATTTTTTAAAAAATAAATAAATAAGAGAAGGCTGAAGAATTAATACTCAAAGATCGTGAATGAAAATAAATCTACCTGCTCTTTCCAGAGCCGGGATCTCTTGTAAGCGACTCAATGGAAGCTACATGGATGAGATCATAACTCCTAGGATATGTTGAGAAAGGCTCGCACCTGTCATCATCAATCATAAACATCATCTCATCAGTAAAAGCCTCTTTAGAGATCAGGTACATTTTGTACACGGTGTGAGTTGCTATTATTAAATCTATCACAACCACAAGGAAAAGTCCACCATGCAGAAAACATAAACATAATAAAGGAACAAATTAGTGGTGGTGGTGGTATGGCAACGGTGGTGATAATGGGGTAGCGGTTGTGGTAGTGTATTGTATTCATCAGACTTTGGTCTAGGAATACCTTTTAAAAGTGAAAAATATTTTCTGTCTAAATAAACTTGCTTTCCGTTGACCACATAAAAGGTTTTCGATTGACTTCCGTTTTCAATAGTAACAAACGCCAAAAAAAAAAAAAATTCCATAAAATATTTTTCACCAAAACAAATGGAGTGTTAAGAGATAAAAGTAGGCATGCCATAAGAACTCACCAATCATGGTAAACTCCAATAAGGCCTCTGTCATAAATGACACCAAGCGTTGAAGGCTTGCGAGCGGGAATAACATTCATTACCCACACAGGATCAGATAATAGCGCAGCAGCAAAACCTCCAAAAAATGCATTCATGTCCATGACATTTCGTATAGCTGGAGTTCCCAGCTTCAAGTTCAAAGAAGTTTTATAATAAGCAACTCTCCTTGCCCACCGTCGAGTATCAGCTTCAAACAGATCAATTCCATTTTTCATGAGTTCGGTCCTGGAAGGAGCTTTCGTTAGCCTCTTTGGCCACTTTGGAATCATCCCAACAGCATATTCTCCTTTAACAGATAATTTCCTGCTAACACATTTCTTTAACTTGAAGTACCTGCAAAAGACTTGAGCTCAGATTCCAAATCCAACAGGTTCTTTAGATGAGCTTTAGTCAATATTGTTGATCAGTGCTACAATGCTGAGATTAGAAACTAAGTCCACAATCATTTAAATCCTTTTAAGCAGCTACAACATACAATCAAAAAAGGAACAAAATAATGGTGTTTCCATGGAGCAGCATTCTATTAGTAAACTAAAAAGAAAATAAAAGGAGAGATCAAAAAAAGGAAGAAGAAGAAGAAGAACGGAGGCATTGAAAGGACAACTACCATGCATGATTTGGGTCATCAGATTCATCACACAATTCAAGCCCAAATTCATTTTGATTTGGGAGACATGAATCCCCATTAGGCTTTTTCCAGATGACAGTGTTCCCATCTACAGCAATCAGCTCATAACACAATGCTCTAGCCACTGCCTGGAGATCTGCCCATTCCTTATCTTGTTTAGGCCACTGTACAGGGGGGCCAGAAATGACTATGTACCCTCCTGGGCGAAGTAACCTATCAACTTCGATAAAATATGTTGCATCTGCAAAGTATGACATTGTTTATAATAAGAACCGAAGCAATAAATGAAGCGTACAATGTGAGAGGCACATGAGTTAAAGAGAACTTACTATATGCTGTAAAAGGGATCAAACATCGAGAGCAGTGCACCAAGTCAAATGAGGAAGCGGGAAATGGAAGTCTGCGAGTACCAAGCATGGCAACAAATGCTGGTATTCCTCTTTCCAATGCAAATTGTATTTGTGCTTTGTGTGAATCTCTTGGAGCAAAGGAGAGGGTTAAAATGTCTTCAGCTAGGAGGTATCCACCAAAACTAGCAACCTGTAAGGGCATTGAATTAAATGGCTAAAAAAGGATCAAGAATCAATTAGAGATCAACGAAACAAAAGATCACAGTTCCCACCCCACATCCCATATCAAGAGCTGTCCTTAGATCTCCACCAGCTATAGGAATATACTGTTTAAGTTTCTCAATATATTGTTCGGCTCCATCTGGGAACATTGTGCCACCGCCAGGAAAAATGAAGTACGGGCCTTCCTTTTTCATCCATCCTTGATGGCCTTTCCTGTCAGCTATCTTATTGTGTGGCATGTTGCTATGCCATATCTGCACACAAAACATAATAGTTATACTTCAAGATTCCAATTAATTTAAGGCACTAGTAGTCTGGTATAAGCACATTAAATTGCAGTCATTCCATCTCAAAGCACAAACTGAAAAATAATTCATAATAGGTTTCTCAGGTGGTACCAAGAAGCATGTTTTTCATGCATTATGGTATGACAACACTAGGAAGATAAATAAAAGTGTCTAATTTCATGGAATGTACCATAACCACTGAATAATGATTTCTAAATATGGATAGTACAGTACAGTGTAGGTTCTGTGGAAAGACGACAAAGAGCGTCAAAGGCCTGGAGGCTCTAGATGTGATTGGGTGAGAAACAAAACAGTCCAGTGAGAGAGAGAGAGAGAGAAGCAGTGAAGTTTCAGTTGGATGGACCTAAAATCGGTAAACCCAACGGCGGGGAAATGCTGTGATGAGCCTTCGTCTCTTAGCCTTGTTCCCAACCTAGGCCAAGAGACCAAGGTGTTAAATGACTCTAGAATCCTAGAAGTGCCTCGTCGTCACAACTTAGAAGTATGAGGGATTGAAGCACACACTAAATTATTGCTCATCAAGTTGTTCGATGAGTGGCGACACCAAGGGCTCATCTAGTGTAAACGAATATGCGTATCATGAGGCTGACATGTGGTGATTTGTACACATGGCAATGTCGTGTCTAATGTTAATGGACATGTGGTAGGTTGTCAAGTGCCTACAATAAGTTACATTATAAAGGTTCAAACTTGCATAATTGGACGGAAATTGGAATACAACTTTGGCTTAAGCCTAAAAGTCGCAAACCAACTTAGTTAGGCTACTTATGAGGGCTCAGGGTTGGAAATGTTTATAAGACTAGAAAAATTCATATGCATGTGCCTCAAGACTAGCTGGGTGCTCTAAGAGGCTGGGCACCTCATCTTAGCCCATTCACACCTATACCTTTCGCCTTCTTAATCTTGCAAAGGCATTTTTCAAGTATGGGGCTAATCAAAACAAAAATTGTTCCAAAATACATGCTCAATAGAGATATTGTCAAATCCAAATGACCGCAAAGAATGCTTCCTTTTCTCAAGATGGTAACACACAGATCCTCAATAACAACTACATTCACAACAGAACTTCACCAAAAATAATAACAATAATGAAACAGATAAAAGACTGAACCAATGTCCCAATTAACACAATTTTAGTGTATCAACAAACAATTCAACACCATTAAAAATTGAATCCACAAATTCAACTATAAGAGAAGAGTTTTTATTTTATTTTATTTTTGTGTATGGAGCATGAGACTAATCATTAATCAAACTAAGACCAAAAAAAAAAAATCAAATTTTGGCTAACAATTGTACCAGAAACACAACAACCCGACAAAACCCAAGATCTAAGATGCTTAAATCTAGGGTTAGGCCTTGTTTGAGAACAGACTATTTTAGTAACTTTTTGATTTTTTGATTAAAATATGAAATAAAAAAAAAATTAGTATGTTTGAAATGACTTTTTAATTTTTTACGAAAAATTATGCAAAAAGTAAAGAAAAAATGAAATCTTTGACTTTTTTTTTTTTGTATAGGTTGTTGGCATTTTAGTTTTTTTAGTGATTTTTTTACTTTTAAACTAAAAGAGTGAGTTACCAAATGAGGCCTTAATTTCACTTTTATCCCTAGTATATCAACTTGTTTTCTATTTCATTCCTAAACTATCAGTTTCATCTATTTAGTCCCTACAATTTCTAAGGTCCAATTGAAGACGATTGTACAAATCATTAACGCTTTTGATTAGGATATTTGAAAAGATAAAGACAAAATGTAGGTGAAATGTGAATAAAATATACCTACATTTTACCTAATTTCACATACCTTTTTCCCTTTCCTTGATTGGAGAATTTGGGAAGGGATTTGAAAAAGAAAAAGGAAAAAGGAAAAGAAAAAAAGTACGTAAAATGTGAATAAAATATACTTCTGTTTCATTTAATTTCACACCTCTTTTCTCTTTTCTTTTCCAAATCTCTTCCCAAATCTTCAATCAAACATGGCGCAATTGTTCAAGCCTAATTTGATAAGCAAAAAGGCCATTTTAGAATTCAAATAACTTAAATCATACCATCCAACACTCATTTTTCCTTACCATTTTGAACAAACTACACCTCACAATCAATTTGATGGGCGTTTAAGTTGTCCAAATTGTAAAATTATATTTTTGCCTATTAGGTGAGGCTTCCACCTTTACTAATTTGGACTGACATAATAGATTGATGAAATTAATTATTTAGAGATGAGATAAAAGTGAAATTAACACTTAAATCTATGTTCAATATCAAATATATATATATATATACCTTGTGCAAGCTTTCTGGCCAGTGGACCGGAAGACGGTACCCTTGGGGCGGCGGAATCAAGCACAGAGGCGTCTGGTCGGGCGGCGGACAATGCCTTTCTCTATAAAAATTCATGTCTCTACTGAGCTGACTGTTCAGCCTCGGATCCTCACACGGCATGTGATCAACAGCATCGGCAGGGCAAGACTCGATGGTCTGCTGGAGGCCAGACTCCACAAGCTCAACCAGGCGGTGGCGCTGCCGCGGATCCGCCGTGGAGCGGAGGAGGGACTGGCGGCCCGAAGCGGCGAGGGAGTCGCCGAGAGGAGTGAAAACGAGGAGGAAGAAGAGGAGGACGGCAGCGAAGAAGGAGGCAGTGATGAGATCGAGGAGGCGCCACTGCCTGGGGTTGTTGCGCTTGGAGGAGGGGAGGTTTAGGTGGCCCATATCTCAGCTTTAATTGTCACAAATTCAAGATCTGATCATATAATATAGACATCGTTCGTGTTCGAGTGTTCGCGTTTGTGTTTGTGTTTTTGTTTTGGTGTATATTGGGGAAGGAGTGAAGTGGGGTGGGGGTTGTTGGGGTTGAAGGTCGGACGACTCTTTGGCTCTTGTTTTGAGAGAGTTGACTAGAAGGAGGAGAGAGAGAAGGAACTCGGTAAACACGGACTAAGGGCATCTCCAACGCTATTTATTATTTATTAAAAGAATAATGTTTGAGAATTTGAATTTGGTCCACCTAATCTCTTAATTTTCAAAATGATGTTGTTTTGAGGATCTTTTTTTTTCTTTTCTTTTCTTTTTTCTTCTTTCATGTTCGACTCTGCAACAACTCGGAGGGAGAGGGAGAGAAAGAGAGAAGAAGAGGGGAAGAGAGAAGAGATCGTCGCCCAGCCTGTCGCCCAGCTCCGATCGTCACAGCAGCTCCGCCGTCGCCTCCGGCCCTGCCTCCGCCTCCTCCCACTGTTATGGCCTCCTCCAGTCCACTCCTCCTCCTCCTTCCTCCTCCTCCCTTCTTTTCTCATTCTCTGCTTCTGAAAAAAAAAAAATCAAGATTAGGAGGATTCGAGGGAGCTTTCGAGCTCCTAGCATAATCGTTATTAAAATAACATTATTATTATTATAATTTGGTAATAAATAGTATTATTTTATCAAATTATAACAATGGTGTTTTAATGGTTTACATGTTATTTTAACAAATCTTAACTAATTTTCTCTTCAAATTTGTAAGTGTTGTTTGGATGTAAGGTTTTTAATAATTTTTTTAATTTATTTTTTGTCTTTTGTAACTTTTTTTAACTGTTTTAAAAAAATTATATATTTACATTATTCTCAACTAGACAAATATAAAAAATAAGAAAAAAAATTAAAATATATATATATAATTCATTCTACCAAAAAATATACCACTGCAAAATTATACTAACCGTTGGATGATTTCCTAATCCACGGTTGAGATTCAACCTCTGGAATCTTCAAGGCTGATTCCATCTTCACTTTCATCATCTCTCTCTCTCTCTCTCTCTCTCTCATACACACACACACACATTTCGATCTAGGGCTCCCTTCCTTTTTCCGTTTTCATCTGTCTCCTTCTATAAGCTTCCTCTATTTTCAGACCCTCCACCTCCATACCTACAACAAATGCAATCCATATATAAACATGAATATATATATATATATAGAGAGAGAGAGGGGTACCAGTGGGTTTGGGTTTGAAGTAGTAAGAATAAGAGCAAGGTCCATCGTTACTTACCTCCACCGCCATTATAGGTTTGGGTTTGTTAGATGCACCACCACTGTCGGATTCCCTTCACCGCTGAGGTCGATGCTTCCGATGGTGACGATCGCCGAACCTCCATCTCCATCCATGTATCTATTCGTACTTCACAAAACCCTCTTCACTGCACAAAAAAGCCCTAAACCCTTTAAATTCAGGTAAATTTGTTTCAGATTTGTTATTCACTTAAATTAGTTCTGAAATTTGTTATGAGATTCGTGAAAATTTGGTTCACTAATCATTTTGTTATTTAATTTGTTAAGATTTGTGAAAATTGTGAAAATTTATTGTGAGATTTTTGAATTTGGAGCCAAAATTTTGTTAATCTTTGATGTGGCATGTTTGGTCCAACTGAAAAGGGAAGGAGGAAAGGAAGAAAGCAGTTGGTTTGAGTGACCTGACAGATTTGGCAGCTGCTATAGCATGCCATTGGAAAAGTTATTTTTGCTCAAGCTGTCATATTATGGCTTTGGCAGCTTCTTTAGCTATGCATTGGAGATGCTTTAACCATTTTTCAATTAGCATTGACTAGGGTAACCATTTTCAATTAGCATTTACTAGGGTGCAACCGGGTGAGTTTTAGGAATGACAACAGGTTGGATCGGATTATACTTTCCGTTTTTTTATCTTTGAAGGTATAAAATTTTTTGTTTCTGCCCTTGATTTTTGCCAAGGAACTCATCATCTCCTGCCCCCACTCTCTAACGGGGATTAGGTTTTTTCGATCCCAAAAAATCTCTGTACAAAAATAACAAAATCATCAACAACAATATCATTCCCAATCTGTTTCATTTTCATTAATATCAACAACATCATCAAAATTAACATTAACAACCAAAATAATTACAATTACACATAAGCATATACATACACAACAGATCAACTACCACAAAAAAAAAATAAAAAAATTGAGACAGATAGACACACACACACACATATATGTATACATATACATATACATGAGATTTGAGTATGTATCATCAACACAGATCTGAGATCTTTGTGTGTCATCAAACAGATCTGAGATTTGTGTATCTGAGTGTGTGTCATAGAGAGAGAGAGAGAGATCTGAGTAAAGAGATTATGATGTGTATCAGTGGCGATGAACGACGAAGGAGGACGACGTGAGGTGTGAAAGAAAGTGAATCAACGTTAGCAACGTTTGTAACTTTTGTTCACTTCTACTCAGGTCTGCCATGGCGAAGGGAACAGACGCCAGAGTATGGAGGTTCGACGACTCTAGCATCGCGGCAGTAACGATGGTGTGGAGGAGGAGGCGACAATGACTACATCGCTATGGAAATAAGAGAGAGAGAGAGAGAGAGAGAGAGAGAGAGAGAAAGAGAGATGGAGAGGGCTATAATAGAGGGGTATAATAATAATTTCAATTAGGGGGAAACGGGAACAGGGTTAGGGAACGTATCACCATACCTGGCCCGAAAATTGTTGAGGATTCATTTTCAAATACCATCCCCGGCCTGTCGGGGGTATTTTTTTGGGAAAAGACCGTTCTAATTGAGATTGGGGGGCCGGGTCCCCATCAGGTCGGGTTTAAATTGCCATCCCTGGTGACTTCAGTCGAATTGAGAAGTTGTTCAAATTTAATTTGAATTGTAGCTTGAGTCGAATTGAGAAGTTGTTCAAATTTAATTTAAATTGTGTTGACATCTATTCAGGTCTGCTTAAATTTGAATTGTAGCATGAAGCTGCATGTTTAAGTTCGATTTGAGTTAAATTTAAATTATTCAAATTATAAATTTTAATTTTAATTTTTTTTTGTGTGTAACCAAATTATTAATTTATCAAAATTAGATTATGTTTGTAGTTTTTTTAAAAAATTATTAATACTATCAAAACAAATATAATTTATATAATGTAAGAGAGATATCGTTATGATACTCTTTAAAATTTATGAGTGAAAATAAAAAATATAAGATTTTGAGTGAATATATATATAATATATTCAATATGATTTAATAATTTAAATTACTTTAATATCATGTAATAGTTAATAATTCATATGTATATTTAATATTTTTATATATCTATATATGTATAATTCGGATTTCAAGTTGCTTGGGTGTTTTGATGTCTTTACCCAAACACATCCAAATTTAATTCAAACTTCTGAATTTTTGTTCAAATTGGTATTGAATTCAAAAATATCTTATCCAAATCTTAAAATAATTCAGACTGGGCTCGGATTGCTCCAATTGAGCCAACCCAAATTGCACCCCTAGCATTGCTTGAGACCTCCACTGACCAAATTATAATCATTCAAAAATTTTATGGGCAACCAAAAAAATTAGGATTTGAGACTTGTAACAAAATAAATATTGACTTTTTTATTTTGGCAATTTAAATCTCAATTTTTTTTATTTGCTTTTAATCTAAACTATTCGTCTATTTTTGTTAAGTAAAATTGACAGAAAAATAGTATTTTAGTTCTTAAACATGTAAGTATATATAAAATGTCTAAAATATTATTTTTCATTGAATTTAATGACTAAAATATCAATTTTTTTGTTGATTTTACTTAACAAAAATAGACAAATAATTTAGATTGAAAAACTGGAATTTAAATTAACAAAATTAAAAACCCATAGTTTAATTTGTTAAAATGATCAAACTCTAGATTTTTTTTTTGGGTGGTAATTTCTCCAAAATTTTGTAATCACTCCCCCTCAAAACAAAACAAAATTAGTTATGGATGTTGTAGGTTGATTAATTTATGACTCATTTATAATTTTTGGAAATTAATTTTTTTAATTTTTTACGAAAAGATATGTAAAAAATTTATAAATAAGAGTCGACTTTTTCGTTGAGTACTATATACTTATAAAAAATCACGTTGATCGGATATCGATAGCTATCTGATCGGATTAGTTTTTTGTCAACCGTTAATTTGTTCAACGTTCATTTTTTTATATACAAAACTACTTTGATCATATAGTTATCGATATTTGATCAATGTGATTTTTTACATGCATATAGTACTCGACGAGTTCTACACATTGAACGGTTCAGATTATCAAAATGGGGCTCGTGATGGGCCCTCATTGGCCGAACAACAACGTCTTGTGTTGTGCACTGCCTGTGTAATTTGTACCATCATTTGAGACTTTTTTTTTTTTTTTTTTGAGTAGACATCATTTTAGATTGTTAGACTGTACCATTGTCATGTCATAGAAAGTTGGCTTGTATTTTTTTTTTTTGTAAATTTGTTTTTTTTAATTTTTTTCTTTTGAATAGTGATAACTTTTTGATTTTTTATCTTTTTATAACATGTCAAACCAACCCTTAATCTTTCCAAAACAACCAATAGTGTTCATTGTGACTCCAACCTCATTTAACAACTAATTTTTTTAGCTAAAAAAATTAAAAAATAATTAAAATATTACATTATGCATATTAATCATTTTTTCCCCCTCACGACTATGTATTCCAATAAAAAAATTGCTCTAACACACAATAATAACTTTTTTCACCTTACAAAAAATTAAAAAATACTAAAAAAAAAAGTCAAGTTGCAAACGGGCATAATTGGCATTTTCGGATTTTTTTTTTGACTTTTTAGTGTTTTTTGAGTTAATTGTTTAAAAAAAAAAATTTAGTGAAAATTTTGATGTGAACTTCACCTTTTTTAGTTGGTGACAAGCAACTTAGAGTTTGTTTGGGAGAGAGGGTTTGGGATTTTTTTTGGCTAAAATAATTAAAATAAAATAAAATAAAATAGGTTTTTTAGCCTAAGATAAAACATTACATCCAACTCATAATCATTACATTATTTCTCTCACCAACAATGATTCATCCCCCCTCAAAATTCCCACCCCCACCACCCCCACACACACGTGGGGGTTGGGGATTGGCAGATCAGAAAAAAAAAAAGAAAAGAAAAGAAAAGTAAAGTTAGCCAATCAAATGCAAAGGGGGTGAAGGGTGTGACCCCCAAAGGAGGTCTCAACCTTTATTGTTCTCTCACAAAAAAAACTAAAAAAATTAAAAAACTCTTCCCAAACTAAGTTTTTTAATCATAGACTAAAATAGCTAAAAAGTCAAAAAGCCAACTCATTTCCCAAACGAACCCTTAGTGACTTTTTAACTGTTTTTTAGTCAACGATTAACCTTTTTTTGTGTTCCCAAATGACTTTTCAATCTCTGATTACAACTTGATTTTTTAATTAAAAAAGTTAAAAAGTGAAAAAAATATATCTTAGGCATGGTTAATGTTTATAATTTTCATTTTTTAGTTTACATAAAATAAAAATTGGTATTCGTTTATTTTTGTAAAAAACAAAAACAAAAACAAAAAAATTGTTTGGAATACAAAAATATTTTAAAAATAAAAATAAAGAAATATATTTAATGAGTTGCCAATCTTGGTAGCCGGAAGTAGATGGTGGACAAATGTGGTAACTAATAGTGGCAGGTAGCTGAAGGTATCTGCCAGAGTTAGTAGTTGAATGCCGTCAGAGGATACAAGGTGGCTAAAAGGATGCCAAAAGGTTGTCGAAGATTACGACGGTAATCGTTCACCATTGGAGAGACACTGAAGGTTGGCCAAAGCTCGCTCGTTCACCATTGGAGAGACACTGAAGGTTGGCCAAAGCTCGCCACTCACCGGTGGCGGAGATGGTGGTAGTGGTGATCGATGGAGTGTGGTAGCGGTGGATGATGGCTAAAGGTGGTGGGTGAGAGGAGAAAATGAAAACTTATTTTAAAAACAAACGAAAACAACATTTTTGTGTTTTAAAATATTTTGAAAATTTTGAAATCAATTTCATATGTTTGAAAACAAAAATAATATACCAAACAAGTTTTCATTTTTTTGTTTTTAAAAAAATGAATACGAAAAAAGAAAATAAGAAACAAAAACGTTAACACATGACCCCTTATTAATTCATGATTTTCGATATAACTAAAAAAAATCATTCTCAAACACATAATTTTTTTTCATGTTATAAAAAAGTTAAAAAATCACTAATAAAGTCAATTCTCAATGAGGCCATAGTTATGGCCTATTGTATTTGTTATTTTGGTTATAATAGAATAATTCTTTATTATGCCTCAAATAATATTTCATTATAAATCTAACTTGGAACTCAATTAATTGATGAAAAAATTTGTCTCCGTAAAGTTTATATTTATAATTATAAAATTTTGTAAATCACAAATAAAAAAATGGTTTAGTTATGTATTTTCATGTTTACAAAATTGTAAATAATTTACAAAATTTAGTAAACTATTATAACTAAAAATAGTTGATCTTTTATTTAGAAAAAAAGTTTCGGAAAATCTAACAACTATGCATATATTCGTATTTTATAGTTGAAAGATAGAAAAAGAGGATTCAGCACGAGTTGATTGGATCATGCATTACGGTTATGTGGCTCATAAAAGATAGTTTTTTGAAAGAGGAAAAGGAAAGAATATACAAATTCTTTAGAGGAGTCATTCCTTTATTTATGTTTGGCAGAAGGTGTTTAAAAGACAAGGATTTCAATTATTTTGCTTCATATGATCGTTCCAAAAGACTAAACTCAACAGAGTAAGTCAAGCAGTTATTATGCTGTGTTTGGTTGGATAATTTGAGGAGGGATTTAGAAAGAAAAATGAAAAAAGTAGATAAAATGTGAATAAAATATACTTATATTTCACATAATTTCACATACCATTTCCATTTCTCTTTTCAAATCTGCTAACCAAACATAGCGTAAAGGAAAATGTTAGACTCTTAAAAGTTTCTATAATAATGTGACAGGATATTTATTACACACTTAATGATGATAAGCCCAATTCTCATGCCACATCATTGTGGATAAATTTGTGAATATAAATGTGTGAATCTAACATTACTCTTTTCTAAATTAGCAAGAATTTGTATCAACAAAGGAAGGCATGACAGTACGAAAGCTTACTTTTGTGTAAAATGAATGCAAGCTTTGGAATGAAATGTAACAAATTTTAGAATTGGCAAGGGACCATAGGATGCATAAAGAGAATCTACTGTCAAATAGGTTCCCAAAGTTGTACAAAACCATCTTCATTGTAAAAAACCAAAAACAAAAAAGCAAAAGCAAAAACAAAAACAGGGGAAAAAAACCTCATCTTTTCCAGCTTAAAATCCTCAAACACGCATGCCAGAGGCCAAATAGGATATCAAAGTAAGGAAAAATTGCAAATCAGTGATATTTTCACCAAATATTTATAAATTTATAAAAAAAACTCATGACTATAATTATTAAAATAAAATTTACCATTGATTTGAAATTTTTTTTTTTTGAACATACACCGAGTTACAATTTCTCCTATCAAAGTATCATACGACAAAATTGCCAAATTTTTACCAAATTCAAGTTGTTATAAACTCAATTGTGTTACAACTTATTTTTCAAATGCATGTTTTCAGCACTCAACTTCAAGAAAACATTACTTCAAGCTTGAAATCATATTTTTTTACAACACATTAATCAAGTCAAATTTTGAAAAAACACTTCATTGAAGTTATGCTTTGAATACCCTGAACTTGTATTTTCAAAATACAAGTACATAAAACAATGTGAGTTTGAAAAATAACTTCAAAACTATCGTGGACTTTGCTCAAATCAACAGTCCCCATTGCCTGAAGACCTTAGTCCCCCCCAAGAGGAATATCAGCATAAAAATGCAACAAAATTAAAACACACACACACACAAAAAAAATATCAAGAGCAATGAGGTCTCTAAATTTGATTTGCATATTCTATGAGTTTGATATCATGTTGTTCTCTGTTCAATAAAATAACACTAAACAAGAGAATTAAGATCAAGAAATGAAATTAAATATACACCGCGGGGCTGCAACTTCTGTGATCAATAAGAGCATATCAACTACTACTCTTTTTTTCCCCCTTCAAAATATTGCTTATGATTGTGCCAACAGATATCCAGTAAACCCAAAAACCTAAGACCACCCACCATGTTGAGTCAATTTCTTCTTTTTCCTAGAAAATTTCAATGTCGCTTAAATTGAACACTAATTCTACAAGCCCACCATAAACAAGAAAAACTTAGTGGTTTTTGTTTTCCTCAATCCTAAATTCAATGTTTCCTTGCTGACTTTAGGATATAATCATGCTTGAGAAGGTTTGCTCTCAGCAGCATGGCCCTGACGTCCCGATCAAATTCACTGCCAGTCTGTAGGACCCGCTGAAATGTGGCATTCCTCTGATCCGCATGTCGTGCATAGAGAATTTTGTTATGGGAGTCGATACGAGCCTGCAGTAACATGAGACAGTGATTGATCACAGCATTATCATTCATGAGACCCAAAGCTCCACCTGGACTCTACTACTGAGAATCTTGGTTGTTAGAATTGTATGATTCACAATTCAATATGAGTTTCAACCACAATGATTCAAATCGTACTATTGAATCAAAATTTGAGTGAATCATGTGATAAATTTGCAATTCACTACAATTCAGCTATGCTAACGTTTTTTGTTTTTACGTAATGTATGAATTGACAATGTTTTCACCTCTACATCAAGAAATACAAAAGAGATCAATTAACTAAATTAATATAAGTGATTTTATATTTATAAACACATAATAATATTTAGTTACATTCATCCTGTTTGGTTTTCAATTTTCAAAAACAATTTTCTGAGTTTTTAATTCATATTTTTATATTTTTAATGATTTTTTTAAATGTTTTAATCAATTATTTAAATTATTTTAAAAAAAGTAAAATTTTGTACAAAATTCTTTAAAAAAATCATTGAATATAACAAAATACGAAAACGTATTTAATTTTTGTATTTGGTGAATTTTTTTTTAAAAAAAATCACAAATATTATACTTTTTAAGCGTATTTAAATTACGTGCATTTAAAAAATAAAAAATTTGCATAAAATATTAAAAAAATTCACTAAAAATAAAAAAAAATACAAAAAACAAAAAACTCAATTTTCTCCAAACATGGTGATTGATATTTACTTCATTTTAGACACTATGTTTTTTTTTTTTTAATGTAATTATATTCCTTTTTTCTTTTTCACTATTCCAGGCATCCCAAAAAGTCATCTATATTTTTTATTTTATTATTTTTCAACGATTTTGAAGACTTTATCTAGAATAACTAATTGAAATCTTTTAATTTACAAAAAATATATATTATTTTTTTTGTACGAAAATACATTATTTAGAAACATGATAAAGGGCACCAATGCTGAAAATAGACAAACAATTTGGGACGGATGGAGTATATTATATTAAATAAAGTGAATTTTACAATTCACAATTCGATTCACAACTTAAAAACAATACCAAGGATCAGATTAGTTGTTTTGCTAAAATCTTGTATCCTTTCCCATTAATTGTGAACTGATTTTCTTTATCAAACTAAATATCTTGTGAAGGAAAATAAAAAATAAAAAAAAATCCTCAGTCATTACCTGTATTTGGTTGTCAGTAATTAGAGCTTCAAGCTCTTTCTCGAGCCCTGAAACACTTGTTTTGAAAGCGTTAGCCATCATCCCAAGATCAACAGACACAAATGGGTGAGTATACTGGATAAGGGCTTTGTGACGGATGTCATCATACAGCATCTCAACATGGTCGTGCAAATGGATATCAAGCAGCAGGTTTGCTTTAAGATTTCCGAGGTAATCCAAACATGAGGCGTAATGGCTGCAATTAAGACAGAAAAAATTCATACTACAATATGATGTATTGAAACAAAGTAATTCAGATGACAGATAATCAGTATACAGCAAGAACAAGATAAAATACAATGTAAATTTACTTTAAATGATTTACAAGTTTAAATGTTGATGATCATCTATGCTGCGGATATTAAGCTCTAAACAGCTCAGTTTCAGATCAAAAAATTGGAGTTTTACACTGAATCATAGACCATTGTTAGTTTCCTCTCAAATGAAATAGCGAGAGGTGTGTGGACTAGACCTGCCCCCCACTTTAAATAAACTTTAAACAGCCTCTCAAAATATTTATGTGCCTAATGCTCCTCATCCTGGCAAGTGTAATACATCGTATAGCTGTAAATGGACATTATATAACGGGTTTAATTTATAAACTATGACAAAAAGCTGTCAATTTTTCTACGTCAAATTTCCGAGGTTTTGTAATTATATATAAGGAAGGCACTTGGCAATGCAGGTCAAACCTTTTTTGTATAGACTTCGGTAATTATGTGAGAAGGGAGTCATGAAGGCTTGTCAACGGAGGAGTTCTCAGTGGGTTGAGAAGTAAACTGACGTTTCATAGCATATCATATGTAACAACAGGAGGAAAGAGAAGGCTTTTACATAATTTGCTTTCCCAGTTGGTTTGGAGTGGGAGAAAAAGGAAAGAGGTGAATAAGGTAAGAAAGATTAGGAATATAAAAACAACTGGAATAGGCGTGCCACTCAGTTTCTCAGTTCATCCACCGATAAAATTCCCTCAAGAAAGCATCCAAGTCAATCGTAGAAATCAGATTAACCCACTTCAAGTGGACAAGAAACCAACTAGGAAAAAGAAAATGGAAAGCCAACCCAAAAAGTCAAGCTGGACCATTAAGTTCTCCTTCCATTCAAGAACCCTGCTGTTAGTGCCAGCACACATGACTATTGTTTTCATCCAAATTTAATTTAGCAGGAAAAATACATCAACATCTTTCTAATGTATATCAGAGTGCCACCAAGACAGCAACATGAACAAGTGCAAAAATAAATAAGCTCCCTTAAAATAAATAATCACATTTAAGGCCATATCAAGTTACCTTGAATAAAAATCATTAATAAGCTCCCTTACTTCAGGTACTAACTCTAAGAAATTCCGGAAGTTGATATTGTCTATAACTTTGTTCTGCCAAACAAAAGCATCTAATTATGAAATGTCTCACAATTGCAATATTTCATCAAAAAACCTATTTAAAAGTTATACATGTAAAGTAAAATAAAAAAGAGAAAAAAGTATAGTTGCCTTCAGCTCTGTCCTGTCAAAACTTGCGAGTGCACAAAGTCCACCGTATGTTGCAATGTCCTGGGGTGCAATCACTTCCGTGTAGTGGTTTCCCAATTCAGGACCTGTCTCCAAGAACTGCACACATACCAAAGACATTATGCCACAAATCCAAATCAAAGACCAGCTCAATTAAAACTCAATCAGACCTGTTCATTTTCCCCCTCACAATATGACTAACCTAAAAATAATGGCAGGGAGCACAAGAGAAATTTCATAATTTTATAAATATAACTTAGGGCACTATTCACACTTAGGATTAAATGGCATGATAAGTGCCATAAACCCAGAAGAACATAAACTAAATTTTATAATCAAGGCCTAGACAGAAGTTTGAGACAAGGTAATTTTTAAATCAGCAAATTCTGCGCACTTCACACTGTGCCAAACTGAGGTTCAGCCATGCTACAAGTGATAGGCAAGCATGAACATACTTTCTTGAGAGTGGGAAAAGCTCAAGCCAAGTTTAAACATCCACAATCCACTGTCCAGCAAACAGTGTTAAAAGAACTGAATACTTCACTCGGCTAGACAACTTTGTGTGGTTGTCTTTGTTCAATAACAGTTCCATATGGAACTTTCCTCTATAAAAAGCTGATCAACTAGAATTCTCCAATCCCATTTTCTCCTCTCTTCAGTATTTCATGAGGTCTGGTGGTTCTAAAGAAAAGTGGAGGGGAACACATAGATCATCAAGAAAATACCACAATATAAAGACATCCAAGAGCAACCACATTTTACATGTGTTATTCAGCATATCATTGAAAGTCAAATTTAAAAGGCTTGCCCACAGTTTTACATGTGTGAGGTTCTCAGAGATTTCACTTGCTGATAGCATGATCCAGTTCAAATTCCATCTCCATCAACTTCCTCACAAGCTAAAAGTAACATAAAGTAGTCGTTTTTGACCATTTTGTGTAATTTTTTTCACCTAATTATGTGCTTGGACACTATCGTGATCTGACCATAAACCTTTATGGCCATTTCCACAAGCCCTGAAGATGTAAACCACAGGCAACTGAAAAACAGTTTTCAGACAATTAACATTTTATTTTTCGTTTTTCTTTTCATCTAAAGACATACCTACAAGCAAAGCACAGCAGCAGACGCACAGGAAAAATCAAGGGCAGGTTAGGTGACAAACCTTTCGAGCAGCTTGTTTGTACTTTTTAGCCTCCAATAAGGCCAGTCCAGCAGCGGCACGTAGTTTTGCAACTGTAATAGCATCCAAGGCATCTGGATTTTGCTCTGCTTTCCCAACATAGCTTGAAACATGTGTGAACTGACCCATCTCAATGCTGACCAAAATAGCATGCAAACACATATGAATTATGTGCTTTGATGTTGTACAGTAGTCACGAGTACGAACGTAATTCTTAAATGCATCTCCAAGTGCACCATGTGCATAGTAAAAATCTCCAAAATCATTGTAGCCCATTCTAATGCTTTCTTTTATCAAATTTGTCTGCAAGAAAAGGTCATAAAGGTAAGACAAAAATAGAATTGCATTTTTTTATAAATAGCAGATAAACAAAATGGATAATATACGAACCCATTCTTATGTATTAAAGACGAGTTTGATTATTTTATGCAAGTACACCACCAAGACAGGTTATGCCATCCCATCTAGAAATAGATTTATTTTCCACAAACAATGTCAACAAGAACCAAAATCAAAAACAATATTGACAATCAGAATAGTAATAGCTAGAACAGTTCCCTTAGGGTACAATCATCAAATATAAACTTGTACATGATACATTATACATGTAATAAAACTATTTATAGTTCTAAATCTAACAGTTTTTGGGACTAGATGCGTACAATTTGAGTCAATTAATCCAGAAGAATGCATCCAGGCCTATGTTTCAGGCAAGAACATGGTCTATTTTTGGCCAGAAGTTGAACTCAGGGCAGGTTTGAGGTAGCAGGGAAAAGCAGGAGGCTTCTTTGCCAGGATTGTAGTCGGACTAGGACAAGCTTTCTACATACCTTTCTCTTAATTTTTAATCATAGGTTATCATAATTGTTTTGTATACCAGATTATAAGTGATTATAATTTCATCTTACTTATCAAAAAAATGCATCAACTACTCCACATCATTCAGACTCTGCAAATATGTATGGATGCTAACACAAGACGAACACAGTGATCAGAATGCTACTTTTTAAAGCAGTCAAAAAGGCTTCTTGTAGAGAAGAACCGCATTAACGGTTTACACAGCACAAATTAGATGACTTGAACAAACTGAAGTATAGGAGACACATCATTGAAGTATATAGCCATGTTTCTTGGTATGTCCGTCCTCTATTTTTAGAATTTACCAAGGCAATGTATTTGTGTACAATCTTGTCATGCGTCCACACCTCATAGTCAACCTAAGAGTGAAAATATCCTCATTCATGCAGAAAGAACTCCAAAGCTGAACAAACTCTTCTAAGAACCCCATTATTCTCACCAATACCACAATAAACTCGTAACAATAAATTCAAATACAGTGAATCAATCCAACTAGACAACTCATTAAACACCATCCAAATACATTCAAAAGGGAATTCCACTCAAAACCCCTCAATGATCCCCTTAAAAGTTGCTTCATTTTAGACATAAGAGTGACAAATACTTTCTCATTCACACTAAAAGAACTCCCACCCAAAACTAAACAACCCTTTTGGGAATATCGCGAATGGCTCCATAGCAATTCATTCACTAGCAGAAAACTCGAACGTATGAATCCAAGAGTAGCAAATCAATCCCAGAACCCTACAAAATTCAACTAGGTAGCACAAACACGGACATGCGACGCGACATGGCAATTTTTAAAAAAATAGAAGACACAATATGCTAGGGACACATTAAAAACTTATATTTTTCTAAATTTATTAGATGTCAAATATATGTATAGTTTATTCAAAAAAGATTTTAAAAAAAAAAAAACAACATAACAATAATTTAAATTAAAAAATCATATATTTCATAATTTAAATATCAATATATCATTTAATTCAATTTGCCGTTAAAGAGGTGTCAGACAAGTTTTTAGAAGTGTCTGCAAAATATCGTGTCCGATATGAGTGTTTGACATGACACACCGTCTCTATAAAAATATGTGTGCTTCTTCTTAGCAATTCAATCCACGAGCACTCACTAAACACTACTAGTCAAAAACATTTACAAGCCAATACCACCCAAAACCTGTTATAGTCCCACACTAGTTAACAGAGGCCTTAGCCATATGCATGCAAAACTCTCGGCCACCCTCCCCTTGCAAGTTAGTTTCAAGGGTGAGTTCTACCCTAAGTGTTTCAAAGATGAGTTCTACCCAAGGAGTTCATATTTTTTGGTATCAAAGCCAACCACCAAATCGAGTATGGGATTGAACACAACCTATACAAGTATGGGATCGATTGGGTTGCAGCTATGTGGTCAAGTCACGGAGGGGCCAACCTAGGGAGGATTGCTAATTTGCTACCTATAAGAGAGAAGGTTCGCAAAGTCACCTAGCTGGGAATGATGAAACTCCAGGACATTGGTTATGGAGTGTGGTGGAATATTACGATCACACATCATTGTGTAAATATAACCCTTTTGGGCATCCTCCCTTGCAAGTTAGCTGTCAAGGGTGAGTTCTACCCAAGGTTAGTATCAAAATCCCAATAAACCTTTCGATAATATAAATCACTATACCCCTCACTACTTGCATCATTTTGCTCATACATATACAAACATACAAGAGCAACGGTTAATCCGGACCCCAAACAATGTAAACTACAAGACAACTGCTAGAAAATCCCTTTAAATTAACACCACTTCACTCAAACATAACCCCATCCATTCCATTCCATTATATAAAGCATACAACTCATAATATTTTTAAGCTTTATTTTTCCCCCAAGAATCTATATAACAAGGAAGGGTGGTTTTGAATCCTGATGGGACTTTTGTCTATGGGTCGAAATGTGCACAATCAGATTGATTCAATCCAATGGTTGAAAATGTCTTACTCTCATTTGTCCTACTTGGACATTTCAATGGTTCAAATTAGTTTTACTAAGGTACAGATTTAGCTTTTCGGTTCCCACCCTCAGGGTTGAAGCAATTCACACAGACATCTCTCTCTCTCTCTCTCTAATTTTGATTTCAAAATTTGAAACTCCATTCTCTCTCACACCTCTTACTCTTCCCATCACACATCTTCCTCTTTCCACCAAACTTTCTCTCTCTAGAAGTTTAATCTCCGGTGGTGATTTCTGAAATATAGCTTCGACAGAATATAGCCCCACTGAGAGGGAGTGATTTCTACGATCTGTCTCAATCTTTGCCTCCTCTCTCTCTACACAGCTCCAAGGTAGAAGTCTATCCTCCTTGTTGGGTTTTTCTGTTTTTGGAAGGTGTGAAAATCTAGGGTTTCTATTTAGGTTTTGGATTTTGATATGACAGCCAATGCTTGCCTCCTCTCTCTCTCTCTCACACACACACACTTTTTTTTCCCTCTTTTAATTGGGTTTGTTTTTCTTTCTTTCTTTCTTTCTTCTTCTTCTTCTTCTTTTCTTTTTTTTTTATTTTTTTTTATCAGCACAGAAACCATTCTTTTTATTAGATGTAGTTCTACAAAAATATTTATGTCCTGTTTGGTTGCCGAGAAAGTGGCGGCAAAAATAAAGTGAAATTTTGACTACTGTCATTTCTGGGTTTGGCTGAAAGGTATTGTATTTTTATCAAAATTAATTTTTTTTTATTGGGTTTTCTACTCTTTTTTAGGTGAATAAAGGGTTTTGTACTCAAGAACAAGTGTTGATGTTATTAATTGTTATTTTTCTTAATTGACTTGAGTTATTTGTTCGAGCAACATTAATCTATCTCTTTATATTTTTTTTGCTCTATCTTTAAGCACCATTATGTTTTCTTCTTCATATGGTGTAGCGACTTCAACGGCAGCAATGGAGCAGACTAAGGTTGTGGGTATTTGTCTTGGGTCTTGTTGGCTCTATTTTAGTGTCTTGGTCTTGGTGGAGATGTTATCCCATACAGGTGTTTTAATTAGTTAGTTATTTTGGATATGTTGAAACCATGGGAAAAGTTTCTGGAAACTTTAATTAATTAGATTTGTAATTAATTATGCTAGATTTGTATTTTAATTAGTTTGTTTTGTTGCTAAAATTGTGATAGATTTGAACTATATCCTTTGGTACCTATTAATAGTTGAAGTTGTTTGATGTTTTCTTCTTCTTCCTCTTCTTCTTCTTCTTATTATTATTTTTGCAATATTTGTTGGTAATAGGGTGCTTGGCTCCCATTGGGAAACAAATTCCGTAGCAATTCGAGTTGACAATAATAATGGTGTGCGATTTTTTTCCCTTTTCTGTGTCTTGAGAATATTGCAGGCTTCAAATAATACACACACACACACAAAAAAAATAAAAAAAAATAAAAAAAAACCAATTTGAGAGTTTTTTTTTTTGTTACTATTCTGAGATATCAATTTGATTTGGTTAACATAGTGTGATCTCCCATTTTTGTTATAAGCTATCAAATTGCTTCATGCAATTCCATTTCATTTGAACAAATAATTGGTTTTGTTTTTGGATTTTGTTTTGCCAAGTGACTTATGCTATTTTGAAGATCATTAGATTCTCAATGGAGTTGTTTTCTGGTGCCCCTCTCTCTCTCTCTCTCTCTCTCTCTCTCTCTCAATTAACAGCGGCACATAACTTACGTTATTTCCTATTTTATTGGCTTTTTTTGTTTAGTGTCTTTTGATGTAGTATTAGTTTTTTGTCTCATTTATATGAATTAATTTCCTTTTTATTTTCATTATTTTTTACTCCAATTGGTTTAGTTTTACTTTTTTTTTAATTTCTTCTTTATTTCCTTTGGGATTTAATAAGATCTTGGAAAAAAATAAAAAAAATTAACCACAAATTAGACCCACTACCAAATGCATGTCAGGTTTTACAATGTTCCGCAGATATGGGTGGGTGTACCTTAGTTTGTTTTCTCTTTGTGAGCATGCAATCTTTTTGTTTTACAATGTTCTACAGGTTGTGGGTGAGTGTACCTTTGTTTTTATTCTCTTTGTGAGCATGCCATCTTTTTGTTTTACAATGTACCTTAGTTTTTATTCTCTTTGTGAGCATGTAAATCCTTTTATTTTTAAGAGTTGAATATGGACATTATTTTTTTATGTTTGAATTCTTAATCCTTAATTTTATTGTTTCACATTTGAATTCAAGTATGTTGAAGAGTGCCATCGGCATAGGTGATCCACTTATTCTCTTTTAAGAAAAACCGCAATCAAACCATTTATTTGTGATATTTGTATCCTCTATTTTTTATTTTCTCAATTGACTATACGTTTGTCAATTCATATGGTTGCTTGGTTTGATTATTTCTCAAGTGGCATGACATTGCTACCATGTCTTTCAAGTTTACTTACATATGTTGATTACAATGGTTAAATCCTGTAGAATATGACTCGACCAATGACTATAATTGGAGCCTCCATTAAAGTACAAATATGTAAGTAGCCTCATTTTTTTTATTATTATTCGAGAATGTGGATTGGTATGTTGTGATAGAAACTATACTTCGAGCTTTGTTTGTTAAATTTTTTTTCTTCTTTTTTAGACTTGACAACTCAAGCAGTGCTTAAAGCTCAAACAATTACATTTTTTCTCATTAGTTTTGTTATGCATGTGTTTCAATTGAATTGGGGTTTTAATAAATCAATTTGATTTGGGTAATGCTTTACATTTGAATCATGTTTTTTTTTGACTGCCAATCACTCCATTCATGTTTGTAACAAAACGATTTTTTTCTTTAGTTAGTGTTTTAGGTGTGATTTTTTTTTAAATTTTTTTTGAAAATGCTATACTCTGTAGAGTATGGACATCCATGTTGATGATAATGAACTATGAAAGTGATTCGAGCCGTGATAGAGTCACCTAAGATACCGTTATTTTCTTTTAGTTACTCGGTGTATCGTGGACGTCCATGTATATTTTCCCTTGCACTGTCTAGAGACATTAATGGTGCTTTGATTAATTATTTTCTTTCCTTTGTTTTGATTGCTATATTTTCTATAAATCAGTTTCTAATATTTGATTTCCTCTTGCTGTAGTTCATCAATTTTTGACGCAATTCATCAGTTTCTATAATGAAATGTATTCAATTTTTTGATTTCTTTGATAATATTTTTCATTAAAGTTTTGATAAATATGTCCTTTCTTTTCTCCCTCTAATCATTAGTTTTCTCCTAAGTTTTAGTTTGTTACCTTCTGTTGTTTTCATATTGTGTTGTATTTTTTGCTGGTTGTCATCAATTTCTAGGTTCTCAATATAATCAAAGGTATAAACCCTTTCACACAAATTTTTTCATTACATCTATTCATTACTCATATAATTTTGATAAAAGTTCAATTTTTTAGTCTGTTACTTACTGGGTCTTCAGTGATTATTGGGTTTATAAAAAATTTCTCCCTCCCTCATTTTGTAGTTATGTTTTAAACAAAGCTCTCTTCCCATTTGCATAAAAGATGGAAGCAAAATGAGACTAATGAGCAGTAAACCATGATATAAAAAAAAAAGAAGAAAGTATTGCTCAAACTTTTTGCTTTCATTTGCTTTTTCCACTAGATTACTTTTCTTAATCTTTCTTTCTTTCTTATGGAGCTTAGTAAAGGGTGTTGTAGTAGTCTTTGTAGCTTTTCTATGAGTGATTTTGGTGAATGTTACAGTAGTGGAATGAAATAGAATGGATTGGTATGACCTATGAGAAACCTAATATAATGGCTTATTTGAATGACTCATGCATTGTACACTAGATTTCTTTCCCCCCATAAAAAAGTGATGGCTTGGCCATTACATATTTTGGTGATTGGTTGGGAGTATGTGTTGAAGATTTAAACCAAAAAGAAAATGTGTATAATGAGGATTGAAAAAATTAAAGGAAAAAAAACAAGGAAGATAAACATAGATAAATCCTTTTTTTTTTGGTGGTGAACACAGACTAATCTTAATAACAAAATAAATGCCTTTCTTAAGACAATATACGTTGGTAAATTTTGACTTACTTTGGAAATAACTTTGTGCTAAGTTTTGGAGTCCCCTATTATCAAAACCAAAATTGATGTCTAATTGTCTCTTAAATTGGTTTTTTTGCTCATATATATTTTCAAGATTTATAAATTTACATTTTATTTAAGAGAAAACTAAAGTTGCAGGTTCTTTTTTCCTCTCTATTTTTGTCTTTTTTTTTTTTAACCTCTTAGAATATGAGGACAACAAAATTGTGGTGTAGAGCTTCTGTTGTCCCATTGTTCTTCTTACCTGGTTTAGTTAGTAAGAAAAACATGTGTTCATTTTTTGTCAAGTACATTAGTAAAGGTAGTAAAACTAGACAAGGAAACATGTGAAGAAAGTGAGTTGGACTGTGTGTGATGGTGAGTGGTGCCTGATAAATGATAGATTCTTTTGAGCAGTTGGAAAGTTTATTACAAGCCATGTGATGTGGTTTGAAAATACTAAACATTAGTTATTTTTTCTCTTAATTAGATTTTTTTGCTTTAATCCATATAATCCAACTTTATTATTATTTTTCAAAATTTATCGATACTAGAATGGCGACTGAATGACTTTCAAATCCTTTTAACTTTGGCCAATTTTTAGGACAACAACTTCGTTTTTAAAGTTGTCATAGTTGATGCAATTGATGACATTTTACATTAATCATCTTTGCAATAACTCTTTGGTTTAGCCACATTCAATTCAACCATTATATGAATGCGATGATTTTTGTTGACAAACTTATTTAGGTAAGTTGAATCAAAGAATGGATTTACTCGACTTAGGTTTGAATGTATAGCATAAATGCCTAGAGTTTCACAAACTGGCAACTCATCTAACTTAATTAGCCACAAAATTTGGATGTAAAATTTCAACCACTAACTGATAATATATATATATATATATATTGAAAACTACAGAAATTAAAATATACCCGATAAGCATTGAGTTCACTTTCGAGCTTCTCCTTCCTCTGCTCAGCCCTGCGATCCACCGCCTCGGTCCAAGCCGAGTCGGGTCCGTAATTCGAACCCAACCGGCCATTGATTTTCGGAACAACGTCTCGAAAGAGAAGCGTGTTCTCGCCCTTCTTGACCTCGTCGTAGGCCATTCGAAGTGCCTCCAATTCCATCGAAACGACGCCGCATCGGTTGGCGATGAAGAGTAGGCGAGCAATCTTGGTCCGGCCACTGTAAAGGGCTGCATAGGCTTCGATGTCGAGTTGCTCGCCGTTGATGATTGGTCTGTGACGCTGACTACTGTCACCGCCGTTGGCGTAGATCTCGTCGATCATCTGTGCCGAAGCTTCGTCTTCGCCTTCCATGGGTTATGCTATCCAGTCCAAACGACGTCGTAGAGTTAGGGTTTTGAGGCTTCTCTTCCGTGTTTCGAAAAATCTCTTCTCCTTCACAGTGATCTCTCTCTGTGTGCTATATCAGAGGCATTGAATAGAGCGATAGGTTTACACGTGCGATTTTCTTAATAATCTAGAACTTCCAAACGACGCCGTTTATATTTTTATTTTTGTAATATTTTGAGTAGTAAATTTATTATGATTTTGATATAATTACAATATCCTCTGCTTTAGAGCATCTCCAACCACATCCTCTTCTCAAGAGGATGCAAATAATATTTTTTATTCAAAAAGTAAATATAGAGGAGGTCACTATTCATTCAAACTCCAACCACAAACCTTCATTTCCTTCATTCAAACTCCAATCAAAAAGTAATTTTTGTTCATTAATAAATATTTAATTTTAAAATTTTTGTAAAACATATTTAATATTATACTCATTTTAAAGGTATGATTTTATACTTTTTATTGATGTCATTTTTATAAAAATTAAATTTACACATTAAAAGTTATTTCGAATATAATTAAGAAATATATAGTAAATAGTGTTTTAGAGTCTTCTCTATTTTTTCATCCTCTCTCTATATTTGGAGGATCAATTCATCCTCTGGGTTGGAGTTGTTTTTGGGAGAGGATTCTCCATATTTGAAGATATAGAGAATGGGTTGGAGATGCTCTTATAAGGATAAAGAGGTCAAAAGATTATGTGAAAACACAAATAAAATAAAATAATATATATTTTATTGTAAGATCATCTCTAACGTTGCATCAGATTAAGCATCAAATTTGAATTTGATGAAAAAAGCCATTTTTTCTCTCTCTAATGGTTTTATCAAACTGATATCAAATTGAGAACGGAGCAAAAGTTTCATCAAACTGAGGACCTACGCGAGATTTCACCATTTCACTGTGCATTTACGTTGGAGGTGGGCCCACCAATCAACCGACCGGACGTTCGGCCGGTTGACCCACCGGTCGACCGGCACATAAGAAGCTGCTTCAATTTGCTTCAATTTTTGGTTTGCCTACGAACTAGTTCAAATAGGTAGGTTACTTTTGTGGCACTACAAATAAATTGAAGGTTGATATAAATTTAAATTTCCATCAAAATGCAACATGGAAAGTTACATCGTATATACATATAAATTTTAAGTTGAGAAGTAGCCATTCTGCACCAACAATTCCAATAACTTACCATTGGTGTGATAGGGTATTTTAAAAACTTCCCGTTGTTGTTGTGCTCTATAAAATATACCAAACTTTTAATTTCATTATATCATTACAATTTTTATTTTGCTTATGAGTTTCAATTTTATAATGTCATTACAATTTCTATTTTGTTTGTGACTTTCAGTGTGTATTATCTGTTTGTCAGGTTCAATTTCTTTGTGAGCTGCAGTTTGATAATAGCATTACAATTTTTATAGAGTGAATATTATATGTTTCTCATGTTCAATTTCTTTGTAAGTTTCAGTTTGATAATATCAGTATAATTTCTATTTTCTTTATGAGTTTCAGTGTATATTATTTGATTTTGAGGTTTGGTGTATATCATTACAATATATTTCACTGTCTGAGTTACATATTGTATCCTACTGAATTTGCTTCAAACTATGGAAGATTTTGAAATGTTTGAGGAATCACAAATTTCAAAGCACAACACTGATATTAATTTTATTTCGGAAACTTCTCGTGTTTCTCGTGGTAAAACGTTCACAATTATAAAAGATGAAACTTTATATAGATCTTGGTTGGCGGTCTCTTAAGACCCCATTACTGGTAATAGTCAGACCATGGCAATATTTTGGAAATGAGTACTCGTTTATTTTAATTCACAATTGAGTGGTGAATCAAATCGAAACCGTATTTCTTGTCTTACCATTGGTCTATTATGCAAAAGGCAATTAATAAATCCTGTGGTTTTCTTAAGCAAATTCAATTGAGGCAACAAAGTGGATCAATTGAGGCAACAAAGTGGAACAATTGAGGCAGACATGGTAAAATTTATTTTTGTTATTAAATATCAATTTTCTTTTGTAATGTATACTTGTTATTGAATTTTTTGTCATTTTTTTTGTAGGTCGTTGAAGCGAAGTGGATGTATCATGCAATACAGAAAAAACACTTCACATTTGATACGTGTTGGGATATTTTGCGCCGAAATTGTAAGTAGGATGAATTTAGAACACAACCCAAAAAAACTACGCAACATGCTTATCCATGTTCGAATCCACCAACTGAAAAATGAGGCTTTTCAACCCAACAAGAATATTGTGGTGGACCAACAACCGACTAATACATCAATACGACCAATTGGTACTAAGGCAGCGAAAGAAAAGTTGAAGAATCAAACAACTCACGATGGTAGATTTGATGAAATGGCTGCCAACCAATCCAAAATTGTTGAAGTATTATCAACTATCTCCCCTAGAACTGTTGAGCGAGATGAACAAAAGGCGATAAACCGTGAATAGAAGGTTGCAGAGCGTCGAAGAATGGCCGAGGATAGGGAGGAACAACTAAAACTCCTATCTATGATGAATGAAAGAGAACAACAAAATGAAGATCATAAAATAATGTCAATGGACATGACAAATTTAAATCCTATGAAAAGGACGTACTATGAAGAGCTTCAACGACAAATCTTATTTTGAATGACTAATAGATTTCCTTGACTGTTTCTGTATTGGTGGGTAGTATTGGTTTTATTATTTAAAAACATTAACACTGGGTTGTATTGGAATTATTTGTATTCATATTTTTTTTATAACATATATTTGTATTGATTTGATTTTAACATGCTCATAAATATGTGGTTGGTAAAAAATGTATCATTCACATATTTATTTGCCAATTGTTCTGTGTTTAGTAAAAAAATGTGTACGTTACTAATGTTTAAATTACCACAAGCAAATAAAGGAAGCTACTATATTATAAAAGACAGAACCACTACATTTATAAAACAAAATGACCCAATAAAATAACAAAAGGTTGTTAACAAAATACAAAACAAAGAAAATACATAATGTAAAAGTACATTCTAAAAACAAACAAAAATCGCATAATTTGTTCTTGTCATCCAAGCTGTCATCGAAACACATCAACAGTCATTGTCTAGTGGTGGTGGAGGGAAGTAATGATGGTAGATGTCATTTACGTGATGCTCAATCCTATCCATGCGATTGCTTGCCATTTCATTACATCTTTCAATGTCCAAACGGAACTTACCAAATTGTTGAATTAATGAGTTCTGCGTAGTGACAAATGCATTGAACTGAGTACCCAACGAATTTACCTGATTTGCCATTTGTTGTTCCCATTGAACACTCTGATTATGTTGTTCTTCTTCCATGGCCAAAAACTCAGTCCAATATTGAGGTTGTTCAGTTGATGGCATTGTATTGGCATGAGGATCTTCTGGAGCATCATTTGGTGGGACTGTGCATTAAGACTTCCTATTAAATTGTCGGCTCCACCGGCACGGGTCAGTGTATACTCCGAAATGGTTGAAGAGATTTTAGTCTCTGTTTCACCTACAAGGCGAACCCTAAAATGTTTGAAAATTTTAGTCAGCAGTGCCCCAAAAAGTAATGACCGCCCTATGAATTGACCAAGATTTGTATACATCATTTCTTTCATTGCCAACTTCAAAACAGTATAACAAATAAGCATTAAAATATGAGACAACATCAAAATGTCCTCTTTTCGGAGTGACATTTTCTACAATCCACCGGTGGAGAATCCGAAGATGGCCTTTCAAATGTTTTGCTTGTAGATTACTCCCACTAAATCTGTTCTCACAAATAGTAATATATATGTCACTGATATTACCAACAATATCAACTAGCTCAGCCTCACTCTAAAAATGGATATGCATAACCCTTTCCTCAACTCTAATAATTCCTGCTAAAGTAGGGATATCAAACTGAATACCCTTTTCTTTCAGATAAGATAGAAGAGTAAAGTTTTTATTTTCTTCGTTGGTACCTCTTAGGTGAACATAAAATAAAGACACCAACCGTGGATATACCTTTTGCAGTAAATTAATTAAATGTACCCACCATATTGCCTCAAGTTTGCTAACTAACAGTCGATCATATTGAGGTGGCAGATGAACCCTCCTCCCGGTTACAATAGGTCGCCTGGAGAAGCTTTCAAAGGCTTGTTCATGACTTTTATTGAGAAAATCAGAAGCAGGATAAGCCTCATTTTCAAGCTGCTGTTGTTGGCGTGGTGGAGGATTGGAGCTTTCATCATGTTTTAATCTGGCTCGTTTTGTTCTAGGCATGATGTGAATATTTGTTTAATTTTAATGGAAATGTGTCAAATATCAATGGTGAATTACAGAGGAGCTCAAATTAAAATGGAAATGTGTTAAATATCAAAGGTGAATTAGAGCTGACATTCAGTGTGAGGAGCTCACATGGTATGAAGTGTGGTGTGCAGAAGTGCAACAGATAAGGAAGTACATACTGGAAAGAAAAAAAAATATAAGCAGGGCTGGGTGACCCACCAATTGACCGGTGTTGTAAACTCATGAAATTGAGTTTCTGCTGTTGTTCGGCTTGTTGCTTCATTTGCTTTGGCTTGCTGATTCTGTCGATTTACACTTCCAATATAGAGTTTGTATAGAGTGAATATGTAGTGTTTGGGGAACAGAATTTGGCTTGCTGATCTTTGTTGCTGCTTTAGCTTGGGGTTTGTAGAGTAGATTTTGTATAGCCATTTCTGTCCAATGTTGAGCTGATATAGAGGGTCAATAAATGAGGTAAGTGGTGGAAGGAATTAATGTGGTCGGTAAATTAGTTTAATGAGTTAGTTGGATGGTGGTGTGTGTCATGAGGCATTGACTCATCAAATGAGGCTCGTATGCCACATCTGAAAACAAATTGTGTTCTTAAATTTGTATTGTACAGCCTTATTGATTTGTCAAATTAATGAGGTGTTGAATATTCATGATGTACTGAATAAATGAATTTCCAAATTTATGAATGAATTTTTAAATATAAGACTTCTAACATCAGTAAGCCTTTGGTAATTATTATGTAATTGATTAAGACATGGTCATTAAAAACTGTAATTCTTTGGT